AAAAAAAAAAAAAATTTGCGACCTTATTACGACTAATATATAACTAATATACAACTAAAATAAGAGTAGTTTATTAGTCGTAATAAGTTGTATATTAGTTATATATTAGTCGTAATAAGGTCACAAATTTTTTTTTTTTTTTCGGTGGTGTACCCTGAAATTGCTGCGACCCAAGTGGGTTATTTGAGTAATATTCCCCCGGTCCGACCCGAGAATTTCTGTTCTTGTTTGTTGTACTGTTTTGATCCCAGGAAATAGAATCAACTTGTCTGAAGCATCTGTTTCATCCATGGTGTCTGTACATAAGCATCTAGTAGTGTTTTGATCCTAGGAAATCCGAAACCCTCGTTCTCAAAACCCTAGTTTCTTGATCTTTAGGAGCATGAACAATGAGACGTGTGGTGAGGATATCCTGCACATACGAAGAGGCCACCGAGTCATCCAGCGAGGAAGAGGACCGTAGATCGGAGCGAGCGCATTGCCGCGGCAAGAAGCTCGCCACAGAGATTGTCATCGACCCTTTAGATTCATCGAGTAGCCAGGAAGCCTGCAATGCCCGGACCAGCATCAAGATCAAGATCCCCAAGGCGTTGTTGACCGTGGCAGCGGCAGTTGAGAGAAAGAAGTTTTGTGGCGTGAGGCAGAGGCCGTGGGGGAAATGGGCGGCCGAGATCAGGTGTGGCCGATCTCAACAGAGAGGAAGGACCGATCGCCGTTGGTTGGGAACTTTCGACACGACCGAGGAAGCTGCCCTCGCTTACGATATCGCTGCGGTCCAGATGATCGGGCCCCACGCCCCCACCAACTTTGGCTATATTTTGGGTCACATTGTAACAATTAGAGAAGGATATGTATTGAAATAGAAATAACAAAATAAAGGTATTTTTAATATAATGCCAACTAAATTGCTACAAAATCGTATTCCTGTTGGAAAATTTATTACATGGACATTATAATTCTATTATTGTGTTATTACAAAATATAAAATGGGGTTTAAACAGCGATTATACATGTCTATAAATATGTTCCTTTTTCTAAAAAATTCTATTAGAAATTTTTTGTTCCCAACAAAATACTTTATTTTTGTGGTGCAAAAGAAAAAAAAGTACAAACACGGTCTCATGATCATGGCCAGAGCAAGAACAACAAACCAAATGCATTGTCCAAAGGAGAAGGGAATGTAATGTAAGAATCAAACTCATGAAACGAAATATCAGACAAAGTAAAGATGAGTCACTTCATCGCTTTGGACAAAAAAGTTGCAGAAACTGATACAGATATGAATCCAAGTGGGCATCAAAATAGACTCAATTCAATTTCTTAACACCATTAATCCATATTAGTAGCAAGTTCATTAACCACACTAATATTTACAAATCAAATACCGAAAGAACCCAGTTTGACTTTCACAATATAGACACGAGACAACCAAAATGCTTACTAACCCTTTTCGGCATTCTGATTTCCATACTTGTAGCCAAAACTAAAAAAGAAGCTAAGCATGTGATCATCAAAGGTCCCATACCGATGATCACAACGACTGAAAAGCCGCTGCGGATCCAATAGAGCAGTTTGGATTCCAGCGTTGCAGGTAAGCTACACAGTTGCAGACAACAATAGAACAAATCGTCTAAAGAGAAAACACCTCTTTTTTTTTCTTCTTTTCCATTTTTAGGGTTCTTTTCCTGGATTGATTCGTCAAGTGTAGCAATCCGGGCACCGTATCAAGCCGTTCTCATTGCATTCTGGACATCTCTTGAGCGTATCTTCATCCTCATCAAACACTTTCTTGCTCCCGCTACAATTCAAGCACGGCATGAATCTCACGTCCCCGCAACTTTGACACACGAACCCAGGTTGTCTAACCGGGAACCCTTCGAGGATCTTGGCGAGTTCTCCGATCTCAAACAAGCTCTTGATCACATCAGCACCACCCACATACTTCCCTCTGATGAATACCTGAGGCAATGTCACATTCTTCTCGCCCAACACGTTCTGCAACTCTTTCCTATATGCAGAATCCATCGAGACATCACGTTCATCTACCCGAACCCTAAATCCTCTAAAGATCATCCGTACAGCATAACAATCCTCATACGTCCGCCTAATTCCTCGTAAACTAGTGAAATACACCACAATCCTATCCTCTGTTCCCGAGAGACAGATCAACGATCTGTTTAAACTCGAAAATGGGGAAGTTCGTGAATCGGGTACCTGCATTTTTCCCGATTTCGTCTTTGCGAGCATCGACTGTGACTCTGTTGAGCCCGATTTCGAGAATCTTGAGCCTTCGAATAATCTACAGAGGCTCTTGACCTTTCCTTTGAGAGAATTCCCCATCGATTCCATTGGGCTGTAGAATTTGGCAATGGACGTGGTACGATTGAGAGACGGATTAGGGTGGTGGTGAGATTTAGGGTTTGACTCCATCGGCCTCCCGTGAATCGTAAGCGACCTGTTTAAGAACGTTGACGGCGCGGTCGTCGATTTCGTCTTCCCCGAGAATTCTGTGTTATTTTCAGTCAAAGCCGCCATTGAATCCAACCGACGAAACGCGGCAGAATCGATCAACTCTGGTGAATCTTAGGGTTTCAGAAAACCTAAAATTCGAAAAAAGAGTCACAGCTAAATCAACATGACCAAAGCCCACCCAATAATCAAACGCGAAATGGAAAATCGAAGTAAACACCTCCCAAGAAATGATCGACAGAGAAGAGAAACAATAAGATCCTCACCGATTGATCACAACGAGAGGTTCCCGAAAACGATCGAGGAAGATGACGAACAGGAGAACGTGGAATTCTGATCGTCGGAAATCGAAACCAACAGACGAAGAAATCAGCTTATTTCCGATATCACCGTCAATGTCGGGGAAGGAATCTGGAGACACTTATCCAGGCTGATTGAATTTCTCCGGTTACAAACAAAGGAAGAAGATGAAGATTATCTGGAATTATTCAGAGAGGTTTGCCTTTTTCTGTTTGGGAGGTGAGAAAATGTGGAGGAGCTGGCTTGGACGTCTTTGGCCCTCTGTCTTGGGTATAAAGCAAAGGATTTTTCTGTTTTCTGTGTTTCCTTTTGTCCTTTTTTGTATTTTTAAATTAGTTTTAATTTTATTTGTTCTTTTTCTGTTGGAACAATATATCTGATTCCCGATGAGAGAGGGAGAGGCGCGGTCGGTTTGGACAAAATATGTTTTTTTACACACGTGGATTTATATCATTTTCAAACGCAATAATATTATATATATATATATATATATATAGAAACGCGTATTGCTTGTGATTAAAATATATACAGGAAATTGATGCAACGGTCAATTTTTAATTTTAGCGTGGAAAATACTATTAAGGAAAGTTTTATTGGTAGGTGAATCAAACTAAATTTCTGGTGGACAAAATTAGGAGTGGACAAACGTGTTAAATAATTATTTAAAAACCGAACCAATAATGGTAATTTTGGTTTTGATATTCGTGTACTAATCAATCGGGTTCAATTCCGTTTGGTTGTTAACAAAAAAAAAAAAAAGAAAATTCAATAAAAGGTTAAATTCAGTTTTGGATTTTAACCCCAAGTGATAATAAGAAAATCCAGTGTAACCTAACCATATATGGCATGGAATTTTATTAAATTCAATTAAAGAAAATATTTGCAACCAAGAAACAAATTTTATAGAAAAAAAATAAGCTTAATCTTGTTAAAATTTTCATATCTCACACGTCAATAAAGAATTTTAAAAAATAACTTTACAAAAAATTTCTGTCTCGTCATTATCTATTTTTAAACTATTAATATTTCTATTTGACAAAAGGTTATTAATTTTTCTATTAAAATATTTTTTCGTGGTATGGTATCTTAAATCTTTTAGTTTTAAATTTTATTAAATGTAGTGATAATTTAATCATGATATTCAAATAAACCAAACATTTTAATTTTTGTGGATATTCGAAGTAGAATTTAATTTTTTTCAAAGTTTGGTTGGATGAAAATCCTATTAAGTTTAGTAACAAAATAATAATATCCTAATTAAGACAATTCATTCAACTATGATAAAAGCCCTTTTTTGTTTGAAAAGATTCTTACAGTCGTCTTTTTCCTTTCTCTTTTAATATATATTGATAGATTTAATTCATTAATTATGCAGTAGTCATTGATAGATAATTAACTATATTTTATAAACTTTTGACTTAATAATAATTAATAAAACTACATGTTGTTCAAATATTTATTTCTATAACTAAATTTGGAAGTATCTCATCCCCATTTTATATATTATGATTTAGATATTCGATTCTTGTTTTGGAAAATTATTTTTCTACTGTAGAAAGGCCCATGATTTAAATTAAAGGGCCTTCGCAAAAGCCTATTAAGATCTACGGATCCAAGATCCATAAATAAAACGGGTCGGGTAAAATGCGATTCTTTTGGATCGGGCAATTTTCAAGATTTTGAACAAATTCTCCGCTCCCCCTTCTCCTCCTCCGAAATCGCAGAAATCAGGGTTTTAGGGTTTTAACCCTCACCCTCTGCATTTTCTGGTTCGATTCGGTTGTTAGGGTTTTTTCGTCGAAGACAATAATGTACGGAGAATCGATCCAACAGCCTCCGCCGCTGCAGCTGCAGCAACATCCCGGCGGCGATTTCTACAGAGGCCCACCGATGCCGCCTCCGGCGATGATGCGGCCGTCTTCGGCGACTTCCACAATTGTCAATCAGGACTATCACCATTCTTCGGGCCCAACTCCGCACGACGGTGAGTTTCGATGTTCGTACATTTCTGCATTGGGGACATGTCGGAACTGTGCTGATTTTGATTTTGGATTTGCTGTCGGTGGTATATATTTTTTTTCTAGATTTTGTTATTGACCTTTTGGGTGGTGGGGTACTTTGGTTTTTGGTTGGGTGAGATATTTACTGGTTATTAGACCTGATGTCTCTCTGTTGATTGGGTAAACAAACATGATGTTGCAGCTCATGGTGATGGGTTTGGAGCGAAAAGAATGAGAAAGCATACGCAGAGAAAAGCCGTGGATTATACGAGCACGGTTGTGAAATATATCCAGGTAATGCATTCTCATGCAGGATAGTGGATACCTGAAGGTATTATTTATTTGGTATAATGTATGTTACGGAAGTGATATTCTGTTTAGAAGAGCATTTTTGTGGACATGATTATCTGGATAGTCTTAGTGTCTGCATTCATTTCTGTGTTCTTGTTAATAATGGGTTTCTCTATCCTTAAAACTTGGTCAGCTTTAGTTTGGTTTACTTTGGTTGAGTTTAGACGTGTAAATTTGTGGTCATGTGGTGTACACTGTTCATTTTCTTTTCTTCGAGCATACACATTCATTCTTATGGCATTATGGTTTTTCATATCAGTGTTGTGTTTTAGCTCATATTGTTGATGGAATAAAAACTATTGATAATTTTTTAAAAGTCTTTCGCCTATATATGTGCGTTCAGGATCGAGCATGGCAGCGAGATTCAAGGGGCAGAACTGCTTTGCAACCAACCCCAGCTGCAGCAGTTGATGTTAGTTGTCTTTGGTTTTCTTCTGGGCTTTTCAGTATATCCTGAATTTGAGGATTGCTGTTGATTCTGTGTTTTAAATGTTCATTGCTTTGGCTTCTTTATTGTTGGTTTAGATGTTACCCCCAGCTGCCTATTCAGACAACCCTTCAACAAGCTTTGCTGCAAAACTTGTTCACACATCTCTGAACAAAAACCGCTGTTCAATCAACCGAGTATTGGTAAGTTTCTGAAACATCAGAATACATTGTGTTTGGTCTGTTATATTTTTCTTTTAGATGTTATTTGTTTGTTTCTAGCTTGTGAACTTTCTTCATTTGTTGATTGTAAAACCTGAGGCAGACAATTAGCCGTATCCTTTTCTTTTTCCCTGAAATCTTATTTGTCTTGACTCTGTCTTGCCAAGTCAATATGATCTGGCTGACTATCTTTTTTGTTCTTAGTGGACTCCTTCAGGAAGACGTCTCATCACAGGCTCCCAAAGTGGAGAGTTTACTCTCTGGAACGGGCAATCGTTCAATTTTGAGATGATTCTCCAGGTGCATTATCATATTTGTGTATTAATATGACACTGCATTTTGTTCTATCTGTATCTCCCATTCTTACTGGGGTCAGCCGTTAAACCTTTCAATTTATTTACAGGCACATGAACAGCCTATAAGGTCAATGGTATGGAGCCATAATGACAACTGGATGGTCTCTGGCGATGATGGGGGCACCATAAAGTATTACTCATTCCATTCCTCCTAAATCATGGCATGTAAATGATAATATCATATTCAAGGATGCAGCTCTAGTTTATGCAGCAGGGATAGTAAACATTTTCCACTTGGGTTATAGGTATTGGCAGAACAACATGAACAATGTAAAGGCCAACAAAACTGCTCATAAGGAATCAATTCGTGATTTAAGGTAGAGAACGATTGATTTGTGGAACAGAGTAAGCTAAGCGTCATCAACTTCTAACAAGGTTTATCAAATAGTTTCTGTAAGACAGATTTGAAGTTCTGCTCGTGTTCTGATGATACAACTGTTAAAGTTTGGGATTTTGCACGATGCCAAGAAGAACGATCTTTAACTGGTAATGTGATTTGAATAGATTGACAGGGGTTGTTATATTGTCTGGCACTGGCAGTTTTTTTGGGATTAGATGACCATTTGATATATGGTTTTGTCTAGCCCATTCTAATAAATAGCTACATGCATGGCATCAAAGGTGATATTAAGACAAGATATCATTCCTACTGCGCTGAATCTTTGGTCCAGGATGTCCCACTTGGTGTTAGAACATGTTCTTTGAGATTACTTCACTCGTTATTTCTCTAAGAATATATAAAGTGACCAAAGCGTGCGTAATTTAAGTTTTGAACTCAGGCAGGCCATGGTTGGGATGTGAAGAGTGTTGACTGGCACCCCACAAAGTCCCTTTTGGTTTCCGGTACAGTCTATTGTCTAGTTATAAATATTGAAGTAGAATAACAGAAACAGTTATACGTTTAAGAATGTCTTCTGTGATTTGCATGGATTCTTAGTTGTTTTATATGTGTATTGTCAGGTGGGAAAGATCAGCTTGTAAAACTCTGGGATGCTAGAAGTGGGAGAGAGCTTTGCTCTTTGTGAGTGCATTGCAATTTTGATTAATTATATTTTTTGCTGGAAACATTTTATGGAATTTGAGACTTTTTTCTCGTATTTGCAGCCATGGTCACAAAAATATAGTGCTTAGTGTGAAGTGGAACCAAAATGGCAATTGGCTTCTAACAGCTTCAAAAGATCAAATAATTAAGGTCTGGCTATCTTTTCCTGGAGACCTGTTAATATACAAACTACATTGGATTTTTTTTCTTTTTCTTGGGGTCTTTTTTCCTCTCTCTCCTTATTGATGCATCTGGGTGGCACTGCTTTCGGAAATCTACAGCTGTATGACATTAGGGCTATGAAGGAGCTTGAATCCTTTCGTGGACACAAGAAAGATATTACTTGTAAGTTCTATCATTCTCGACATAGTCATTGTCTTTAAAATGTGAATATGTTTTCCCTATGATAAATGTGCTCTTAGTAGAGAATTTACATGCCAAGCAATAAAAGGGCATTATATCAAAAATACCCTTAAAATGCTACTTCTACTTCAAGACCTACCCTGGTCACATGTGACCAATGTGACCGAAATATAGTATGGTCACATTTTGATTTTTATCGATTATAACGTTAAATTTATGGTGATCACACTAATTCATTATGTTCATACCTTGTATATCTTACTAATCATTTGATTAAAACATCATAAATTTAACGTTATGAACAATGAGATCAATATGTGACCACACTATATTTCGGTCACATTGGTCACATGGTCACAAGGGTAGGTCTTGAAGTAGAAATAGCAAATTAAGGGTATTTTTGATAATGCCCCCAAGCTAGCATGTGCAACTTGGATTTTTTTGGCGAGGAATACCAATGCATGTTAATATAAGTGTATACATATCTTGATATTACAAACCATAATCTATGGACCTGGGTGGTGTTTACAATTTTTATTTTGCTATTGAACATGTATTGGGGTGACTAACATTGAGTTGGAGCATTGTATGATGTCCGGAATTAAGTTTTAGATCTTTGCACTTATTACTCTATCGTAAGCCTTATTGATTGCGACATGTAAATGGTGGTAAAATCAGTGACAAGTTTAGAGAATTGTCTTTACTTTGATCCAACACGAATCAAAACACAAACTGCCTGCTTAAATCTCTTTGCTCGATATCTACCATTATTCCTGAAAGATAAGGCTCAAAAGATCATCTCTACAGAATGAGAGGTTCCTATTGAGCTGTGGATGATTTTCTCAATTTTGCTTCGCTTCTTTTTTTTTTTATAATGGTGATGCCCAAAGTGGGGTCGAACCGTGGTTGTGGGAGCACTTTGTACTTTCCTACACCACTTGGCCACACACGTTTGGACTGCTTCCTTCGCCTTACTTTATGAATTATGTTGGATTAAAAGTTTTCGAGTCTTTTTTTAAGCATTGGCATGGCATCCCTTCCATGAAGAATACTTTGTAAGCGGGAGTTTTGATGGATCCATTTTCCATTGGATTGTGGGGTAAGTACAATGTCGAATTAAATGCAACTCTTTTTTCTTGTGCTGGGGCTTATCCAACCATTTGTTAAGCATCAACCTTCTTGAGAGGATCTTTTCTCTCTTTTAGTCCTGTTATTGTATTGACTATAAATTGGACTAAGAATTGTTGCAATTCTATTATCATGCTCAGGCATGAAAACCCCCAGGTTGAAATTGCAAATGCTCATGGTAATAGTGTGTGGGATCTCGCCTGGCATCCTGTCGGGTATCTTCTCTGCAGGTACTGGTTACCTTGCCTTGTACTGCGAGTTATTCTGAGTTTACTCCTCACGGAGTCTGTAGTTTGAAATGTTTGTGGGCATCGATTATTTTTTTGTACGCTGATTTTCCTCTGATTTCATTTACAGCGGTAGCAATGATCACACAACAAAGTTTTGGTGCAGAAATAGGCCTGGAGACACCCCTCGTGATGTCCCTACTCTGCAGAACCAAGGTATTCTTTTTTTTTTTTAATAATTTCTGAACCGAGGGATACTTTTATGAATAGTCCTCTTGTCCACATGGGTTTTGATACAAATAATTGAATTTTTTCCTTGTATTTATCATCCTCACCTCCACAAGGCTATGGCGAACAAAATCTGTCATTTGGTAACCGTCTGCCCAGTAATTTCCAAGCACCTGAGGCGCCACTGACTCCTGGAGCATTTGTTCCTGGGTTGACGCGGCACGAGGGAACCATCCCAGGAATTGGAGTGGCAATGCCATTTGATGGATCCTCTCAAGGAGAACATAAACAGCCTCTTCCAGGTTCGATGCAATTGGGGGCTCCTCCACTGCCACCTGGTCCCCACCCATCTCTTCTTCCGA